CTTTTTTTTAAAGGCAATAACAAAAATACATAATATGGCTATGGTAGTAACTTTATCTCGATGTGAATTTTACCGGATTTTCTAAGACTTCCCCTATATTACATTTTCTTGCGAATATCGAAAAAATCATTAAATTTGGGATTTTGTTCTATTATTTCAAATATTAAAATAAAACTGTAAAATTATTTTTATATTTAATAACTTTTATACTATATTCCTTTAGAATTTCTACAAAAATACACTGCAAAACATGCCTATTTGAAACTTTAAATTAAAAGACAGAATTTTTAATTACTCTAGGTTTTGCTGGACACCTAGATTATGAAAGAAAATTGCTTCTCAAAATTTATTGTCCACTATTTATATGCCAATACCGATAAGCAGTTAATGCAAAATTAGCCATTTTAAAAAACATGCTCTTAGTGAAGGAAATCTGTGTATGATCAGCATAACGCATAAAACCTTTGATTTAAATGAACAGTGTTGAATGCGTTTCTAGAATTTGATTGGTTTTAAAATATACAATTTTTAATTCATTTATATACTTTTTTATGGTGCACACTAGCCATTTTAGGCTACTAAGCTCAGAAGCAGTGGCCATTTTATTATGGAGGCACCCAAAGAGCGTCCGCCGTTACTTCCTATGAAGCGACAGACCCCGTTCTCCGGGACTCGAACCCGAAAGTGTTTGTAAAAATCCAGGCCATGACACTTTTCAGAATTTTTCCTACTTACTCATCTATCCTCCTGCTAATTTAGCTTCTTTTTTTCCCCTCGATAAAACTATTGCCCTAATTTTTCTAATTCTTCATACATTTGTTCCGTTTCCTTTTTACTAAGTTTACTGCTTGAAATTCTGCAGGGAAAAAATATTTACATGTCGTACTTCATTCAAGGAGCAGGAGAGGAAGAACTCAGCATATTAAATAGTGCATGTAAATAGATGCACTAATAATGATGTATTTATATACGTGTATTAAACTATTAGTTGCAGTTATTGCTTACAGAACTTTTCTTTTTACTTCCACGTTGTCTTTCACTATTTACTTCACTTTGTACTTTGGTCATAAAATGTACCGTCTTCATAGTGTATGTCATTCTTATTAAAACAATAATTTCTAAATATCATCACCAGCCATATAGCGGCTAAACAATAAAAACACAGGGAGGTCAACTCGGGCTCAAATCTCAGAAAATGGTCCGACTAAATGAGATTCTTTGTAGGTTCCTGCATATGAAAACAAAGACGAGCCAGTTTTCATTAAACCGTTTTCCATTTAATCATGCCTTCTCTTAAGTAGATAGACTTTGTGATCCCCGTCGTAACCCAAATAGACCAGTCTATGTAGAGAAAAGTTAGAAGAGAGAAAAATGTAAATTACGATTATATTTTTATTTTCGTATTTAGCTGTATGCTCAATTTTTTGATGGATTCATTATGCCCATTGGGCTTACCTGAGGAGCTGATGGTTAGTAACAGTTAACGATTAAAAGAATGATACAGAATCTAGTGTTTATTGTATTTAATAAAAGTTACCTTGTAATCAGTTTGCATTTGCTAAAATAAGACTTAAAATTTGACAAAATTGCAATCTTATTTTGGCATAGATGTTTAACCCCTCCATCTTGCTCCATCCTTCTTTCCTATACCCATCCATCATTTCACCATGGCTTCTCCCACAGGATGAAATCCAAGAATCTTCTTGCCTGATTTCCTCAGCTACTAACTTCTTGAAAAGATTTTCGTCTCAACAGATTTTACATTTTCCTTGGGTATACACCCTAAGCGTCACAAACATTTATAGGATAGGATTTCATAAATCTAACAGCACGGGAATCCGTTAGCCAGTACTGCCAACTATAACACTCCGAGTGGTGAGCTTAGTTTGAGCGTTATAAATTAATTAGACAATATAAAATAATGTAAATAGTCTAGGCTTTTAACGAGATTTTGTTCTACAATCTAACAGCTAATGTAGCTTTTCGAATATTATTGATAATTTATCCCCCTTAATAAGAAATGAGACTTCTAAAAACTAAACGTCCAAATTAACACAAAGTTCATTAAACCACACCTTACAGTGTGAAAATAAAATCCAGTACAAAACAATATTTCGCTCCTTGGCTATACTATTAGCAGTTAAAGTATACTATTAACAGTTATAAAGTAAACGGCCGGATGGCCCTTAAAGAGACAAGGATTCTTTTACATAGGCAACTAAATTTTAAATTCAACTAACCTCTGAATAGAAGCTAAAGATTTTGACGAGAATACTACTCACCAGCTACTTGCTTGGCAGCTAAGCAAGTTATGCTCGCAAGACATAGATCTCTTGATACTATTGCAACATGAGTTACAGTTAACTACTCGTTTTTAACTCGTTTGCGCATGACTTCAGTTTGCTTTACTTTAGAGATAAACTCTTGTTCGAGCGAATGTTTGCGAGGGAAGTGAGTAGAAACAAAACTTAAAAATAATTGCCATGGCGTTGTGATAGAAAAGTAACTTTCAAAACCTGAAAAAAAAGTATTTATAATATAGAAATGAATAGTAATGGAATATTACTTCAAACTGTGATATTTAGCATTTACAGGGCTAAATATCACAGTTTGAAGTAATATTTACAGGGCATTTTACTAGTGCGGCAGCAAACTCAGGAGTGTGTATTAGGCATCAAGAGGAACAATAATAATCTTAGAACTTGCTAATGCAACTCACGTTTAGTTGGTGAAAATTGCGGAAATACTTATGGAGGGACTCACGTTAAGTAGTTACCAAGAACATTTGCATAACTACTTTACCAAATATTTACAGTGCAGCCCGTGATGCAGAATACAATGCTTGGAAGCGGACAGTGAGAAATTATTAGAAGTGTTTTTCGAAGTGATGGCCGCCGAATCACTGCTCAATCCTCAACAACATTGTCGAACGAACTCGAAAATAGCGGTTGTACTGTTGATGTCCGCTCGCTACATCGATGATGATTTGCGCTGTAAGATCCTGCAGAGAGACGATTGATTTAAGATGTTCCCGAGGAAAAAATTCTAAGGATTTGAGACCTGAAGAGGGTGCACGCTAAGCAACGGTTCCGACGCATTCAGTCTACATCCCGGAATATGTAACGTGGAGGTGGTTACAGATCGCACACTGGTAAAATGGGCTAGGAACTGTCATTTATAAACCATCTGGGCTCCTAAGAAATGTAGTCGGTACAAATTGCAATAAATCCAGGAGGTCGTGTTTCAAGAAATGACTGCATATTTCAGCATTGAGGCGCGGGGCAGAAAGGACAGCCTCGAACAGATAATCAGCAAGGATACCTCCCAGATGTTGACATCGAACATATGTTGAGCTTTCCAATGGACACCTGTGTGGGGAGTTTCCTTTTAACAACGTATGCGCACTGAGCATAACTACAATGCCTTCGTATGTAAAGCTGGCCTTATCAAAAAATAAAATGGAGAAAAGAAATATTAGATTATTACTGGAGGGGTTAGACATTCAACACACGAATTCTATCGAAATTCTATCAGTCGGATAATCGTCTTCGGTTAAGAGTTGTTCCGTTGTGCCTTCTGTACTTGGAATTGGTGCATGTTTTCAGCATGCAAAATCTTCTATACCACCGTACGCAGGGCAGCCAGTTCAGCTGCCACTGTTCATGTTCTTTTTGACGGGAAATATACATATGTTGCAGTACACAATCTTTTATTTTATGTGTGCATATATTGTGCTGTCGCCCTGCATCACACCTTGTTGAATGAATGGTCTTATTCCCTTTGTCGACAATACATATTCAAGTGGTACGGTACGAACAATGCCTTCTCTAATATTGGTTTTACTAAACTGACTGTGATAAGCGTTCCCTGCCACCTGCTAAGTCGTAAATCAAATGCACATCAGAGTATTCTTGGATCGGGGAGTCAGCCATGTCTTTTAGAATAAAATAAATAATTAATAATTTTACCTTCAATACCTTTCGTCGTGTAACGTGGATACGAGTCAGTTTCCCTTAAAAGACCTCCACGGGGCATCTCTCTCTTTCCGTGTAGTGCCTAAGGGCGGAGCACGTAATAAGCAAAAAAAAAAAAAAAAAAAAAACTTTCGTCACCTGGAACCTATCCTGTCCCAGCTTATGCGTTTCTTGATTAGATATTGTGAGCCAATTTGCAGACGAAATCAGCGATTGAACCTCAGCCACCTTGCCTTCTTCATGCGTCAGATCTTGCTTTAATTTCGTGATTTTCCCCGACTGAATTTTAAACTCAGTTTTAAGTTTGTTGTAGCATATTCCATGGCAAATATTGTTCCTCTTAATTTCTACTGTCCCTCCTTGGGTTTATCGGCGGTCCCTGGGTTTATCTGAACAGTCTCTTATTACATAACATACGTATGCCTGTAAAATTTAAAATAATGATTGCTCTTGCCTTTAGTTTCTTAAATCTGTTTCGGCCTTTGATTGCGACTCAACATCCAATATATCCTGTCAGATAAGAAAAGCTTACGTAAAAGCTAGAAATATCTCATTTTCATAAATATCATTTACGACACTAACGTTGTTTTTAAATATGTGTTTTGCATGAAATTTTCTTAGAAAACCTCTTTTCAGAGTCAATAAATTATCAATATCCGTTCTTATCTGAAGCAAATATTCGTTGTGGAAGAGCAAAAACTATAAAAATAACTGACCTTAGTAACTTAGTAACATTTTACATCCATATATTCCTTAACCAGTGACAAGAATACTGAGCTTTATCTTACGGATAATAGCTTTCGTAAGTCACTTGACAAAAGTACACAGTGGTAACTCAAAAAGAATCTCAAATATAACATCTATACGAAGACTTGATTTTACAAGCTAGTTCATCACCAATGTATATGCATACGGTGACGCACGGACATAACACACTACATTTATTTGAGAGCATATGTATTTTATAGAGTGAAACAAACCTCATTTATCAAAATGAAGTAACAGATATTCTAATGTTCTGTGCAGGTCGAATCACGGGATCCAGAGGCGACGCCGTGCTTGTCACAGCGTGGAAGAACTCCAGAACCAGCGTGTACTAGCCAACGTACGTGAACGCCAGCGCACCCAGAGCCTGAATGATGCCTTCACAGCCCTCCGTCGCATCATCCCTACCCTACCGTCTGACAAGTTAAGTAAGATACAAACTCTAAGGTTGGCCACACGATACATCGATTTTCTTTATCAGGTGAGACTTGGCTTAAAGCTTGAGTTGAAATATTTCTTTTATTTTAAGCAATAGTTCTTAACTTTTATTTGACTAGTATTATCGAACATGCCAGTCTATCTAATAATACCTATATAACTGTCTAATTTATCTCGTCACATTTCTTAGAAACTTTTGCCTGAGCAGAATGTTTTGTGGCGGTCTTTGAGAACATTTTATTTAGTTGAACCAAGCACTTTATGTCAAAAGATTTCGTTGATTGATTAATCATAAGAAAACTCGCTAAGAATATCCGTTAGGAGGAAAATAAGCTTTTTTGAGGATTAACGAAAACTATCTAACACTTATGTTACAGAAATGAAACCTCAACCATGCCAAGTTATGGGGCTCGAACTGCGGATATCTATTAATATCAATTGTTTTATCCTTTATATTGCTGGTGAACCACTTGTCAATTGCAGAAAGTGCCAGAAGTGCCTATAGTATTGCCAACAGGGCCAAATGTGAAGAAAGTTTCAGAGACAAGTAGACAAAGTTATTCTTTGCACGTATTCTGATTAAAATCTGGAAGTTGAAACTTTCAGTATTCTGTGTACAGAAGGAGTATTCATGCTTCTGTAATTTTAGCGTTATGTTTACGCAGAGGTCGCGCTAATTTTCTCTGTATCATTGAAGTTTATGTACTGCCGAAAGCGTAAACTCTAATTAAACTTCAATTTTTAAATAATAGGGGATTTAAAGTCAACAACAAATTCATATTAATTTTTGAGTTTTTAAATTTCCAAATAAAAAATAAAACAGACTCCATTCATCAACAAGCAAAATTCTGAAAATCTAAACCTTTAGCCGGCCCGTAGGGATTTTCCGTCACAGAGAGAATGCACTGGCAATGCACTGTAAATCCCAATAACCAACTTTCCATATTTTTGATGGAATGATTGTATTCGAAGATTATTGAAAGAGCTTTGATAATATGAGATTGGGATCTGAGTGATGTACCTTTTTGAAGTAAGGTTTTGAAGCTAATAAAGATATTGTAAGCTTATATTCGTAATGATTCTTCTTACCTCAAATATTTTAGTGGAGGTGCCCATGAACAATCACTAGTGGAATTGGATATGAATCTATTTTTAGTTGTTATTCTTAAATGCCGATAATAAGAATATGCCTTTTACTCTGAAATTCTAATCCTATAATTGGAGCGTGAAAATGTAATGTTCATTAAGTCGCTAAGTAGTTACAAACTCCCAGACATGAATGCAAGTTTTAAATGTCGCTTACTTTCTACTGGTCCGATTTACTCGATTATAATACTTTTTATGATTGAACAAACGCGCAGTGTGAAAACAATTAGGTTTCAGAAAAATAATAAATTCTATTTTATAAAAGAGTTTCTTGTGAAATTATAGCAATTACTAAATCACTGAAATTTTAAGACAAATATTAGATTTCTTTCAACTACTAATTTTCTTTGACTAGCCTTCAAGACAAAAACTTGACATTGAAGAATATTAACTATTCCCGTTCATTTGTAAAAGTTTGTGGCAATGCTTTGTAATGAATAATGACTTTCGTCTTATGGTTGCTCTTGTGGTGAAATGGTTAGTAGATACAGCTGACAAATGGAAAATCAAGCTTCGTTTCTCAAGGAGTTTATAATTTATTTTTCGCGTTTTATACACCGAGGAAACCCGTTAATCTAAGTTAAAAGCAGATGCTTTTAAAACTCCTTTCAAGTCTCATTTCATGCGAATTCTACAATCTTTCTGCAGGAGTCTTGCCCATTATTTAACAAATTTTTCTGCAGGAGTCTTGCCCATTATTTAACAATCTGAGATCTATACATGTGTGACAGAAGAGTTCTGAAATAGAAATAGCTGCTCGACAGCTTATTCTTTAGCAGTTGGAATTAGAATGATTTCAACATGTTGGAACAGTTAATAATAAACAATGAGAATTAGCATAAGCGAAGAGTTTTACAGAATATATCAAGGCAGGCAGACATTGAATCTGACGAATACGATGACGTAATTGACGACAAGATATTAATAATCAAAAAGAAAACCAATAAATTTCGACTTCTAACTTTAAAACAGTCGAGCATAAAAACTGCAGACATTAAATTCGAAAAAACAACGATAAGACGTTAATGAATCAGAAAAAAACATGCGCAAATTTCATTCTCCTTGTTGAGACAGGGAAACATAGGAACTGCAGATTTTGGAACAGAAGGATACAGTTAAGGGAAAAATGTCAGTCGAAGCACAGACAAACCACGACATGAAGGCAACCTGGTACAGAAATTGTGGGCATTTAATCTTAAGGATAGTATTTATAGTAAATCCACGTATATTCCTCTACCGAATCTCTAATCACTCGGCTTAATACATCGTCACTGTACCGTCTTTAAATCTTCCAATATTCTTATTATTATCCAAATTTTGGAAAACGAAACTGCAGTGTGTATATGATATATCGATTTACAAAGACTTTATGGACTATATTATGTTTCTTTTAGTATTATTTAGTATGATCTGATGCCTTTTTCTGGAAACTCAGGAGAACTAAAAATTCTTTTCTCTATAAATTAATTCTTCTTTGCTTTACTACATTTCGGCTTACGAAACGCTTCATGGGAAGTAAATTTATTTGAATGCATTTTCATAGTTTCATATTTTTATAGTGCAACATGAATACAAGGTAATTTACCTTAGCTTTCCTGGAAAGCAACCCCCTTGTGCGTTGCCATAATCAACTAAGCAAGCAAAGTGTTGTCAGGAAAGATTTTTACCATCTGAAGGGAAAGATAATTTAAATTACACTCTAGAATCTTTACGTTTAGAAGATATTTGAACATATTATTATTATTATTATTATTGAAATTCTTGAAATTTTATTTACGAATTAACCTTTCCTTTTTCAGTCCCTTGCATCGAATTTTATTCCAGTCATTCATTTAAAAAAATGTGTAAAGATTTGTTAGTAAGTTAATTTTAACTAAGAAAAAGCACACCAGGGCTGTCTTCCAAGTGAAGGCTATCTTCGTGGAGATTTTCTGAAGGAATTTGGCCAGCAGGGAAAACAGCGGAATCGCCCATGCAGCCAGTCTGTTTTGCGGAATTCGAACCCGTGTGAAATATATACGTGAAAGAGAAGTTAATTAAAAATTCGATCGAAAACGTAGAAAAGAAAAACTAATTAATTACATAAAGATTAACTTGGCCTTTAACTAACTTGATAGTCAGCTCCTTATGTTGTAGATGTCGATATTATTATTTCTTAGCTTACAGGACATAAGTACCCATTAAGTAATTCAGTAGTTAGCACATCCAGTTAGCCAATCGAAGATAGATAGTTCGATTCGTTGGAGGCCATTGTTGAGTATAAATAGTTCCTGCTTCGAAAGCCGAATATAATTGACAAATACAAGATTGTACAAAATCCCCTGTCATTAAGGCTTTAATAAGAATTATTAGGAATTATTAGGCCTTCTTACCGGGAACGTAAACGGCATCAAACGTGGAAGCACACTGAGCCAATATTAAAATTCTTTTATTAAAATGGAAAGAAAACCTATGAATACATGCGTAAAAAAAAATAGGAACAAATTGTGCACAATATGTACAATCAACCCAAATTCATCATTCTTCAACTCATGTGTCACATTCGTGAACTCCCACATTCTTAATTATGCTAAAAAAATCCCTTTTCTTGCGTAGTCCCCACTTAAAAATTTCTTGACATCTTTCTCTACAGAGTGACTTAAACTAATTTCATCTTATTTTGTGATGAAATTGCAATAATGGAAAAATATCTTTCTCGAACTTGTGGCGTCTCTAATTTTATTACTGAGCAATTATTTTATAGCTTTTAGATTTATAAAGAAAAAAATAACGTTTGCACTTATTTAGGTTCTGAACTACGGTGAAGAAGAGGGGGACGTTCAGCAGTCGTCGCAAACATCCAAAGTCTCTCCTTGCAACTTCTTGGCGCACGAAAGGCTTAGCTATGCCTTCTCTGTGTGGAGGATGGAAGGTGCCTGGTCATCTCACTGACGCTTCCTTTCTTTCGGCAGGTAAGGAACCTTTTGCAAATAATAGATTTGGAATTTGCTTTCGGCTAAGTAGATACGACCATTAGGTACACTGGTAACTGGATCCGGGTCCAAATCTCGGCAAAAGAGCTAGTTGCATAGACACTTTCGCACAGTTTCGTATATATGTTAAGTCTTGTGGTGTTTCGCATGAATACGAGACCAATTTTGCTTTTAAAGTCTTCCACGAAGCTCTTCCTCTGATTAGGTAAATAGCCCTAGTATGTTTTCCCATAGTGTAATAAATCCTAATCAGAACTGGATTATAAGGTATTTCTGTCGCCTTCTTGGAGTGCCTTCGTGGTGTAGTGGTCGGCACGCTAGACGCGCATTCCAGAAGTCCGTGGTTCAACTCCCGGCGAAGGCGTTGCTCATTTTTCATGACTCCTGCTTCCAAAAAATACTTAATATCTCTACAATGGCTCCAAACTAAAAGAGTGGCGGATGATGATTCTCCACACCCAGGATTTGGCGATTGAGTCCTCTAAAAACCGCAATCGTCCTTTAAAAGCGGGAGTATATAAGGTATTTCTCCCGCCTTCCTAGCGTGCTTTCGTGGTGTAGTGGTCTGCACACTGGGCGCTTATTCCAGAAGTCCGTGGTTCGATTCCCGAAGACGGCGTTGCTCATTTTTCATCTTTCCTGCTTCCAAAAAGTCCTAATGTCTCTACAACAGTTTTTTTCAGATAATTGAATATATATTTTTAGAACTTACGTGTTCGTGCTTTGTGATGCTATTTGCAGAAATTGCAGTATGCAAAAGTCCATTGGTCACATTTTTGATCTATCAGCTCTAAGTTAATAAACAATATCAATTATCATACAGATTATTTAAGCACGTAGTCAGGATTTCATATTTCAGAAGAGCAAAATTAAAAAAAAAAATTTTTTTAATTACAATGTCTATTATCACAGGAAAGGCATGAATTTCTTAGTATGAGGGTATATAATAAGGCATTGCCAAACTGTAGCTCTCAGGCTCCTTCACTGCAGCTTGCAAGGTGCATGAAACTCTTAGTCCATTAAATATGACATGCCTGCAACAATCAGTAATTTTATTTCTGAAACAGAAATTTTGCAATGATAGGTTTCTTTAACAACTAGTAGCTTAATTTTAAAAATTATATTATGTATATACCGGCATATGGCCTACGTAAATGCTTTTCACATTAACTGCAGAAGTGATTACTTTAAACCATGGGGTAGCATTACATTCTTGATATTATTAAGCATATTTTACAGCAATGGAAGTCCGCTAGCTATTCCGAAAGGAGATGCACAATGTTCTGCAATTTTCCAGCTATGATACATATTATGGCATCACGCTCCCTCGCTCACCTGATAATTTCTTCAAACGCAGGAGATCCTATCGAGACACTAAAATATATAATGATCCTGGCATTCCCTGATACTACAAGTGACGATGGCTTACTTAAAATGACCTCATTTCCCGTATATTGATATGAATTATAGAATAAAACTGTCGTTCAATCTAATAGCTGAAACTTTCCATAATTTAATCACTGGAAATTTTTTTACGACAAAAATTTATTTGCAAAATCATTCAATTTTTATTCGTTCATAGTTAACGCTGTTCAATAGTACCAACAGTAATGAATCATTGCAGACTTAGAGTGTACAATAAATCACACTGCATTAAATTCTTTTTGACAGTTTTTTAAAAAGAGAACGAGCCCACCAGCGGCCGAGCGGTAAAGTCGCTGAACACTGGTAGTTCGGTCCGAGGTTCGAATCCCGCGAACGGGCTGGCTGCATGGGTGTTTTCGTGGTTTTCCTCATAACTCGTAACGTGTATACGAGCCAGTTCCCCTTAGAAAGTCCTCCACGAAGGCATCCCTCCCCTTAGGCAGATAGCCCTCGAGGCTTTGCCATAATCACATACACACACACACTGAAAAAGAGAACGTTGATCCGGTAAACATTAACTAAAAAGAATTACTGTAGCTTTTTCTTTTCTTCCCAGCATATTAAGCATTTCAGTTCAAAAGCTAATTACTTTAATTAATTAAACTAATTACCTCCTTCCTGTTTGCTTTCGTAGTGTAACGGTAACACACTTGGCTCGTATTCGAGAGTTCCTCATTAACATTCAAACGTGATTCTAAAACTACATTCTGGCCGGAAGTGGTAAGTTGAAGTAAGAATCGGTAGGAAAGGAAGTTTAACTCAAAATTTAACTGTTAATAAAATTAACATAATCCTTTCAATCTGCGCATAGCGCTTCGGTTTGATTAAGATTACAACAAGTTTGTTAGGTTTCAAAATTGTTTAATGACATTTCCTTTACTGTTATCTCATTCGATGCACTGCATTCAGGACTTCCAGTATGCTTCCTGAACGTGAGCTATCTTTTTTCTCTCACAAGCGACTTCTACAATAGCGACAATCTACTGCTGCTTGAGAGAAATATATAATAATAATGTGAAATCCGTGTCATCGAGAAAGGGTGACTGAAAACATAATGAGGAGAGGGTACATGATAGTATCAGAGATTTCATGGCGAAATAAAAGCAAAGCAGTTGCTCGGGATTCTTCTTGTTTGATATTTCAAAGTTTTCCCTAGTGTTTCAAATTCGCTTCACATATATTTAATACTTTAAATCATATAATTTTACCATTTTAAATTATATTACCTTACAAATATTTAACATTTTAAATTATATTCTTGAAATTAGAAAAAAAAAAAAAAAAAAAAAAAAAAAAAAGGAAAATAATTATTTAAGGTTTACTATTTTAAATCATAGAAGCTTAGTTTGCAAAAGCTTAGAAGCTGCAGTTTCACTAAGGGAGTTGCTTTAAAAAAATGTGTTCTAAGTTCTGCTCATTTTATTACTTGAATTAGTTTTCGAATTTATGTATTTGTGAAATTTATCGTTTTTGGAGGGGGGGAACCTATGGGCAAAATTATAACAATTATTTTATATAAAATTGCCAATTCAGGGAAAATTTATCAAAGTGAAATTACCTTGGTGAAAATACATCGAATCTTCTTTTTTTCTTTCTTGGTAAATAGACTAATAATGTAATAGATAACTCGTGATCGATCCATAAGTGGGAATATCGGCGGACTCGCCAGTGATGTTTTTTAACGTGACAACAAACCCCCTTCAGCGACAGCTTTAAGCGTTTTCTGAATCATTCTGGCTTTAATGTTGTCAAAAAAGGAGCAACAGAAAACAGTGCGCTTTTTAACTGGAATGGATTTATTAAGAGTATTGTTAATTTAAAATTTTTAAATTAATGTATTTGTTAATGTATTTGTTAATGAATTTTGTTAATGTAAAAATGGGCACATAAACGTGCCCATAAAATAGGCACATTAACAATGTTTTAATTTTGTATATATTTTCCTTGGAGCATGCAAATTAATCAAATTCACTGGCAATTAATTTCTTCAAGCCTTAATTTTGAAAAGAATAAATCTGCTCTGCAGTGGGAAAAGCTAGAAAGAGACTGAAGATATTTCCTTGAACATCAAACCGCATTAAACATGTTATACTGAATAATTTCGAAGAAAATGTTTACATTTAAATTACTAAAATTTATTTTTTAAAAAGTGCTTAAAAAAATTGATGCATAAATTCGCTAAAAAAAAGACAGCGAGACGTACAAAAACTGAGGAATGTCATAATTTACTGAAAATTTAAATATTTTTTTTTATAATCCACTATCACTGATTACCATTTGAAAGCAAGGGCTTTACATGATCAGTACAAGTCTTAGGCTTTTTATTATACTTTGAGACAAAACATTGTTAGACACTTTCTTGTGGGGTATCTATCAAGTGAATATGCCACCAATAACCGCCTATAGTGGTTATTTAAGTTTCGGAAAAACAGCCGCTATTAGCGAAATTACACCGCAGGAGCTATGCCAAATATGTTAAGAAATTTATTTCGGATGATATGTCAGGAATACTAACCGAGGAATTGACACTAAACTCTGCATTGAAATTTCAAATATTTGTCTACGTTCTCAAGATAATAAAAATCTTCCATCTACTGATGTTTACATTTCATTCTAGATTGCACGATTTCTTTTGAAACATAACACGACATGTGGTTTTAAGCATATTCATATATTCTGAAATGTGTATTTGTAAACTTAATTATAAAGAAAAGCAATTCTTTTCGTTATGTTAAATGTACGACGAATTTCCAAAAAATATTCTAACCGTCCATTTTGTAAGAAACTATCATTGGCTAAGAGTTCTCGAACTTGTCCTTTTAAGCTTCTGAGCTAAGCTGTTCTAATAGAAAACAACGAACATCTCACAAATACTTCTTCGCGGTAGATCGCTGGAGATGTTTCCCACTCATCAAGTAAGAATCTCTGCGATCTCTTAACAGGAAGCACGACTGTTCTCCTCGGATCTTTGGCACCTGTGCTCGTCCTTCTCCCGTTTCCCCTCCATTCGACCAGTCACGACACGCGTCACGGAGCACGAAGATCGATCCTTCCTTCCCCTTCCACTCCTGCTAAACTTCCTCCGTCAGCATGCCCTCCTGACAGAGAATTTTCATCGTTGTAAAAATCCAGTAATGGGGCTTCCGCTTGACGAATAGGTTCTCCGTTTGCTCGCGACAATGTCTTCGAAGTGGTTTAACATGATACGCAAATAAACTTCAGTCAAAGTTTTATTTTTAGAAGACAATTTTATTCTCTTTTTTTTTTTTTTTTTTTTTTTTTCCAAGAGGTAATGTCATTGTCGTGGCAAAATGTCATACTCTTTGTGAATCTTTTTGTCACGAAGGAAACCTTAAAGCAGTTTCCAATTTTAAGAATCTTGTACACAAGAAATTTTATTTAGTGCTTCACACAATTCATCAACTCCTTAAACATACGCATTTAATGAACAGTAAAAAGTCCCATGACTATTCATTTCCAAGTTCTCCAGTACTTGGACTCAGCTTTTATCAAAAAATACATGCCATACAATCCCTTTCAAAGTTTTCGGTTTTCCTGGCTGTAATTTGCCATTTAATCCATTCCAGCCCTTTTGAATTTTTTAAACCACTTTTCACAAACACTGGCACATACAGCTTTTTGTCATAGTTTTCATAAATGATAGGTTTTATTTCTTAGACAGCCTCCTTTGATTACAACAGAAAAGAACATAGATTCCTTTTTCTAGGTCTCATACTATAAAAATGTGATTATATGCTTTCAAAACAACATAAATTTAAAGTAAGTACTTAGCGCATTTATATTTCAGCAAATGTTTGCCAGTACTCAATGCAACATCAGTCCAAAATATTTTAACGTGATTAATTAAGCAGTAGATGTAGTTGCTATATAAAAATAAAATTTACTGGGGCTTGATTATACTCGTATATGCATGTCTTCCCCCTTCTCGCTGGTGCAATATCTCCCCCCCCCGTGATGCATTCTGGGAAAGATTCTGGCTGATAAGGGACCTAAATGGCCGATTGGTTCGAACATTCATGAGTAATGCTTTCCAACTGCTGTCCGACTACTAGTAGAAATTTAACAATAATAATAATTAAGTTTTCAGTTTAATTTCTGGAGAATCTTGCACACCATGTTTTTAGCTCGTAAAACGCATTTAAACTTTAAAAAAGTCTAGTGCATAGTGAAATTTAAAGTCTGTCAGGTATTCAGGTGAAATTTTTTATAATCAAGAATACTGAACTGTAGTTTCCTATTAAACATTAAAGGTTTTGAACTGTATGAGCCGAACAATCCTGAAGTATTTCTTTCCCATTTTAAGTAAAAGTAGTTACCCAGTACTAGACTGGATTATATAAGTAAGGTGAAACCCAATACGGTTTTTCTTTCTTTAAGGAAGGATACCTCCTGGAGTACGTCCTAAGCCAAACAGGCCCATATTTATATTACACAAGAGGAAATATAACGTGCATTTCATTCAGCCCAAAACAGACTCCAGGTCAAATGATGATCAGAGTGTCATAGGTGTTTAGTATTTTGCTGCCTAATGCAGTCTCTGCGTGTCCTTGATCCCGCTATCTGGTGCCTATCCAAATTATGAAAATTTTGTTGTTTTTAATTTCTAAGTTCAGCTGCCTAATTTCTCCTCTAAATTCTAAACCTTTTTCTATCCCTAAATTTCCTTGCAAGGTAGTATTTCTCTAACTTCTAAAAATTTTATCGCTCCTAAATTCTGCCTCTCGGTGCGGTCACACGAACTGAACCGGTATTGGTGCCGGTCCTGTACATTGCTGTATCATATCTTAGCCTATTCATAGCATTCGGTGAGTAACCGTTATTATCAGGTAATAAAATCATATGCTTAATCGCTTAAATCACTTAAATAAAATTATGAACGAAAATATAAAAAGATGCAAACGATCGCAATCCGAATATTGTTAAAGAATTTGATTCTTAGTATTAAAATATACTTTTGAGGCAAAAAGAAATTACACGTAAAAGTATTAGAAAAGAATTCTCTAGTGTAAGATATATATATATGGATTTAGAGTAATTTCTCAATAATTAAGTTAATGATGTAAATCGTTAACAAATCGCTTTAAAGTACTAAACGTCAAAAACCGTATATAGTGTTTTGATATGTTATACTATTACGGAACTCGTTGCAATATTTTGGAAAACAAATGAAAAGTATTTTCCAATGTGTATTGGCAACAGCTTTTGATTTCATCAGAAATGATTTCTAATGCAAACTAAAAATATCACATCTGTTTAAACTTTTAATGTGTTAACTTTTAGAGAAGGACACCTTGCTTTTTATCAGTATAAAAGAAACTGAAATATACAATATTCCTCTAGAACTTTTCTGCGAATTTTCTGTATTATTTGTATTATTATTTTTTATGTAATTATCATTTGTTCTGTTGTGCAGATCTGATTTTTAAGCAATAAAAAATAATTCAACTAAAAAGAATTTATATCTTTCAGGTTTAAGGAGAAATGAATGGATGCAGCTGTATAAAGCAACGCTGGACGTGTGCATTAAAGATGGACATATGATCTTGCCAAAATTATCTATGTGTGTGCACTCTAAGTAGTAATTTGTAACAGCGCACATGAAAATCAAATAATTAGCTACATTAAATTTTACTGTAATAATCTTTCAAAATTTCTTTCAAAGTTTTTGCTGCAATTGAATTTCCCGGTCTTGTTTGTTACATTTACAGTAAACAGTAACTCAGAATCCACGAGTGAAATATATAGCAATAATAGAGATTACATACGTAATAATAATCTAAAATGAAGTCAAATTTAGCCATATTTGAACTTGGTTTAGGTTTTTTTTAGCTTATCGTATCAAATACATGTTCTCAATAAAAGTAGAAAGTTCCTAAATCGTGTAACATAAGCGTCAGGCAGAAACGGAAAGCAGCAAAATATGCAGCGGGATGTCAAATAAAATTTTGTGAATTCTATTTCGTATCAATCGTGCGCAGTTTGGATTATTCTGCGCATAATGCATTTCAGTTGTTTTGTTTATGCAGAGATAAAACTTATGTTTTTAATTTATGCCGTGCATCATAATAGACATTGTGAATCTCATGAAGAAACAATGAATGGATGCAGATAAAGTTTGAATGGAAATGTACCCAAAGGTATTTTTTAATAATTAAATCACAAACATGTTTTTGATGTCACGAAGCATATCTGCAAATAAAATTTTTACGATATAATTTTAAAATATTAATCACCTTATATAAATATTCAGTAATCAACTTCAATAAAGATTATGGTTTTGATCCAAATTTTTTTAGATTTAAAGTAAGTTAAATAATTCTACATTTTTTTTATTGATATCTGTTTTAAAACTAAGCAACATACCTATAGCTCATGTTATATGGATTTAACCATTTGCTAATTTTCCTTTTTACCTTTTTTAATCATCTATTTTATAACTTTATTTCATATTCCGTCAAAGTTTTTTACTGATTAAATTGAGTTATTATGTGTTAGTAAAGAATTTTTCCTACCATTCTTCTAAACAAAACCATCTGCACTTGATGAGATATAATTTTGTAATTATTTTAACAAAGACAGAAAACAACAACAAAATATTTAAATTTCACACCAAATATTTTAATTTTTCTCAGTTTTTTAAAGAATCTTCATATTTGTAGAACTCAACAAAAAACGTTCAGTGTCTGTTGACAGCATAATCTTGTATTTTTACTTACTTCACTGAATTAAAATTCGCAAAATTGTTACTTTAAAAGACAATTTTTTTTTTCACTATGTATTTCGAAAATCGATTATTTGCAGTACATAAATTAATCACAATACTTATCTTCCCTGTATTTGGAATCATATTTTGTAAAGTGTACTTCAATAATATTAAATATTTTTCAGTATACTACAGTTTATTCTAAAATTTAATATTTCAGAAACATTAGTCAATATTCTGTTTGCTAAGATTTATATTTAAATCATTTTCAGTCTATTAATTAGAATGCGTTTGATTTTGTATGTATGCAACCATTTGTGTTAGAGTGTTTATTATATAGGTACATATTTTTTCCTGATAATGTATTAACTGTATGATGAAAATTAATATATTTTATCTCTATAAATGCTATTGATTTCCTATTAAGAAATTATTTTGTAGCATATTTTATGCTGTGAATCTTTGATGTAATATATTGAATAAAAAGCTATTTTTCAGCAAACATGTTATCTCTCTCTGATATCACCAGCACAATTCGTCACCATTAAAATCTGCGCAGCCCTTAGAATAGGCAAGTCATGGTCATTTTTCTCCCAAACCATGTTTCGTAACCATGGTAACGATTACTGAAGGAAAAACTCTTCTACTTTGTTAAAACCTCTTAATTCACTCTGTGCAGAGATGATAATACACGCTACGATCGTAGATAAGGGAGGCCGCTAAGTGCTTATTTTAAAGTGTGTTGTCTCAGTTGTCTGAAAGTAACATCAGAATAAGCCCACGAACTTCATCGTGGCAAGAAGAGCAAGATTGCGTCTTGTCTTTGGCAAGAGCCTTGAGCATCATACAGGTGACAGTACGAATTCGGTCAGTTCCACCCCCAGTTTTAATGAAAAGCACCCCGGGAGGACGGATCCGATGATCTCCCATCCCTCTTCTCCTATCAACAACCTCTCGAGAGGACTTTCACTAGCCGCATATTTAGAATTCCCCCATGTCGCAGAGACACCATACATTTACAAACATCCATGCCTCTCCGAGGTTCGAACCCGGGCTCTTTGGTACCGCAATAAGCTCTCCTAACCACTATACCGTCTAGGCAGCCCTTACTTTAAAGTAATAGACTGGAATGCGATGAAAATTTAATTAACTTCTTTATGTAGAAACAAAGAGTACAAGGACATATGTAGTAATTTTTAATAAAAGAAAATATAACGAGTTATCAAATGGAGATTAAAATTTTTATTAAGTTCCAGTTACTTTATGAATCAACAATAAGACAGTTAAGAGAAACTAAAATAAAAAGTATGTATTTAGGAAATATCTTTTTTTAATAATTAATTTTTATTGAAAACCAAATTTTAGCTATCAATATTAACTTCAAAGAACTAAATTTGCCTAGAATATAAATTTTCAAAATTTAATGAAAAATCGGCTCGTGATTGCTTAAAAAAAAAAAAAAAAAAAAAAAAAAAAAAAAAAAAGCAGCCTTTTTTCTCTTGTACCCACAGAACATGAGGCTGCCTAAATGCGATGCAGTTTTCTCTTAATTTTATCGTTTATTTTATCGTTGCATTTGATTTTATGGTGCATTATTTTAATTTATTATTTATTTGTTTATCATTAACTTATGATAAATGTTTTATTCATTGCTTTACGTAATATTTAATTTTATCATATTTTTTCATCATTTAATTTATTATTATTTTATTCCTTTACTTCTGTTCGTCGTCACTGACGATCTTCGATAAGACTCTAGCACATCTAAGTGAAGCAGCGGTCTTCCGACATCGAGATTATAATATTCCTTCATTCTTAATCCTAGAAGATTTTTGGAAGCTAGATTCACAGTTTAGACGTTTGTAAAAGAGGGAGAGATAAGGGGTCTTCAGCTTTGCGGAGATACGGGGAGTGAGCATGAAATTCGGAGACTCGGGGGTGGCAGATGTGCTCAGATTTCTGTTTATTCCTTTTGTCAGCTGTTGTCAGTGCATGATGAAGCTACAGTATTTCGTAGTGCGGTAGGAAAGAAATTCAATCTCTGTCTCTGCCTTACTATCAAAAGCGAATCTAAATTCCTTCCCCAACGGTAGCACGAAAGAAGCAATCATATATTCTCAATTCAATGTGCATTTTTAATGAGTTGAATGTCTTATATCTGTTCAGTTTCTCAGAAATTCAACTTTTAATAAAACTCTGTAAATGCAATTATAAGAACACTTTTAGAGAAATAGTTCTCAAAGGGTGGGTCGGGAAATTTTGGTGAGTTGTGAAGTATTTTCAAACAGAGTAAAAGACCGATTATCCAACATTCAAAGATTCGGCGCAAATCTGGCGAACTCATACATGACATGGACGTTATCTGACTAACTACGAGCGTGACAATCAGAAATAATCGAAAGAGTACAGCGACTGACTTCAGGCTTGGTATCATTACTACTGAATTAAGTTAAAAATGTACCGATGGTCCCAACAAAAAACATACCCATAATCCGATTAACTGCTGTAACGGCTGAACTCAATTCATGTTCCTTCTAACAGTTATCACATCTCAGTTTCTGAAGACAAAAACTGGCGAATAGTCAAGGAAGCCAAAGATTAGCTAAATGTAAAAAACCCCGCTGGTGTCAAAAGAAATTGGAGAACGAAGATGAAGAATGTTTATCTAATACTGCTTAGTGTAAGGCAACCGAAGCATTAAATATGTTGATGAAATTTATAGAAATAACAGCGTAACAATGAAGAAATATTGAATCTTCATATTCTCCTCAATGATGTTTTGATAGCAGTGCGCAAATTTGAATTTAAAAAGAAAAAGAATTTGACCTAAACGATAATGCAGATTCGAAAACATTAGTTTATTAAGAATAATAAATTGTGCATATTCTATAATTTATCTTCTAATATGTTTCGGAACATTAAATGTATTGGTTAAGTTATTCTAAGCAGGGTTTCGTTTACAATTTTGCAGCCTTACAGTAAGTAAACTTACGTTTATAAAACTGTTTTCGTCTCAGTGTCAAGTTCCATAACCTGACACATTTGGTAACTCGGCACTATACCGAAGTTCTCAACACGCCAGATTACCGTTGTACTTCACTTTCTTCTTTCTTTCCCTAATGTATGATTATACACCATGTCCTTAAAAAAAATCATTATGTAGTCTCGAAAGCGCGAATTATGATATATTAGATTTATATATAGCATTGTTCTAACATAGGTATTTTGACACAAAAATCGGACTTTTTCTGAAATACCATACCAATTTTTTTCCGTATTTCGATTCTACGGCTCAAATTATGCCTAGATATTAAATTTTGTAAAATTTGGTGCAAAATTTACGGAGAAATTCAAAAATTTATCTTGGCACAATTTTTTCAGTTTGCGCCAAGGATAATTCACTTGGCGAATTTCTTAAGATGTGGCAACCAATTTTTCTTTTCCTTCCATTATGGTGGAGTGGAAGAAAGGCACCTCGTTCCTAACATTTTATATTGCTTATGACGAGAAAAAAGTGACTGCGTTTCTACTTCCAAATTATTTTAGCAAAGTGTCTAAGCCACATTTGACGTTTTATCGCTTTCAACAAATATGCCAAATTTTAAAACGCGCCAATATATAAATTCACATATATCTTCGGAAATTTTGAATAAAAAACTGTAATTTTTTGCAGGTATGCTTAAATACGTCTACTTTAAGATTACGGTAAAAATTTTATAGATTATAACTCCAAAATTTTTGAAAAATTTATAAAAATTATTTAAAAATACAAATTTTAAAAATAAATCATAAAAAATAGCTGAATTTTATTTGGAATGAAATAAGTTTAATAAAAAAAGAGAGATTAATAAATATATACCAAATTCAATTAACATTGAGGCGCTAAAATTTTGAGAGCTAATTTTTTAAAAACTACTCGTAGGATTTTTACAAAACTTGCTAGTTTGGCGTAATTTGAGTCGTAGAATCGAAATATAGAAAACAATTGGTATTTATTTCAGAAAAAGACCGAGTTTTGGCCAAAATATTTATATTAGAACAATGCTATATATAAATCTAATACATATCCTAAGTCGTCATTTCGAGACATGAAAAACGCAATTTGAATTTCGTTAATCAGCCCAAGTAAAACGGGAGATATAGCACTGTCCCCCCTTTTTTTTCACAGTGTACTTTCAGTTATAAAAACGCTTTTGTGTATACGAGCCAGTTTCCCTTAGAAAGTCCTCCACGAAGGCATCCCTCCCTTTAGGCAGATAACCCTCGTGTGCTTTGCCATAACTGAATAACCCATAAAAACGCTTTTAATGAGGAATGTGATCATATTATGGCATTTTTAATAAAACATCTGATGTGGACATCGGCTCACTAGCGGCCGAGCGGTAAAGTCGCTGAACACGGGGAGTTCGGTCCGAGGTTCGAATCCCGCGAACGGGCTGGCTGCATGGGTGTTTTCGTGGTTTTCCCCATGTATACGAGCCAGTTTCCCTTAGAAAGTCCTCCACAAAAGGCATCCCTCCCCTTAGGCAGATAGCCCTAGTGTGCTTTGCCATAGTTAAATACACCGCACCATAACTGATGTGGACACCGCGTGATTTTCTTGTACGTTCTGTTAAATTATAAACATTTTTTGCTGCACTTATTTTCTCGAATTTCTTTAGAGATATATTTCTAATTCAATCAATCCAGTTCTCACTTCACAACAAGGCAAAAATACATAAAAACTCAGTTTTCATTAAAAATGGTAATACACAGAAAAACCTAGAAGATCAAATACAGTTAAAACAGTTTAAAAAAAATTGGCAATTAAGAGTTTTTTCTCTAACTCAAATTCTTCATCTTGTTTATTGATTCTATCATCAACAGTATTCTAAAAAATTCCTGAAACATAATCTAGGTCACTTTTATACTCATTTTATGTCGAACAATAGTCTTTAAATCGGATATTTTTTGTTGATAGTGGCACTACTCTCCAATTTCATCTGTCAGAAGTTTTAAATGTTATTTCTTGCCGTGTTTCCCTAATAAAAACATCATTTAAACTTTGATTAATGAACGCTGGTTAACTTTACTAAGTTCTAAGCGAGTGTAAGATGTGTGTAAGATGCAATCCAAAAATCACTAAATTTTCTGCTAAATGTCTATCTTTGAGGTACTTACGTATTAGCGCATCCTAAGGTTAGTAAAATCAACAAGTTTTGAGCATAAGAGAAAAAAATGCTTGAATGATCCAACTTATGACGAACAAGAAGACTTCTGTCAGGGTCTCTAGTATTACGGGAGTAGAAACTATGGTAGGCGCATGGAACGAATTTGTGGTTGAAGAGTTGAGAGAAAATATTAATTAAATCATAAATTCACATGCATAAACATGTAAAATAATTATGTCGACATATATACACTTGCAAACATACAACTTTT